TTGCCTAGACGATTTCTTAATTTAGATTGAACTATTCCAAAACTCGAAAAAATTCTTCCTTAACCAGCTGTTGCCGCTATACTGCACTGAATAACTGCTCACATTAGAGGCCTGTTCGTTTGTATTGCTAAACTTGCTAAAGTTGATTTTTTTCCCATAGTCGTCTCTGTTCATGGCATGATGTAAAAAGAGAAAGTCATAGAAAAAAATCAAGTTCAGCAGGTAGAGCAAGCACAAACGAACAGACCTATAGTTGTAAGAAGAGTTCTTTTTTTGGCCATTCGGAGTCAGGAATTGCAACCGATTTGCACCAAATCATTGTAAGCGTGAGGCCTGTTCGTTTGTATTGCTAAACTTGCTAAAGTTGATTATTTTTCCATAGTTGTCTCTGTTCATGGCATGATGTAAACAAAGTAAGTCATAGAAAAAAATCGAGTTCAGCAGGTAGAGCAAGGACGAACGAACACGCCTGATGTACCATGTGGCATGTGGGTAACAAGCAGTAAACAAAAACCGGGGATTCCCCGAGTTGTTAGTAAGTTATAACCACGAAACGCATTGTTGTCACGTATTCATTTTTAACGCAAAATATCCAGGACTTTTTGCTCCGGTATTTATTTTGTTAAAAAGAAGTAAATGATATATATCATGATACATATCATGATATATATCACTTGATAAATATCGGCCAACCCTGCCATTAGATAGCCCCTAAGTAGCATTGGCTCGGTCTCACGTTAAGCTCGTAGTTTTCCACACCCGCCTACATACACCGCCCTACTTCTTCTCTGATGCTCAGGCTTTGTCACTAACTCCATGCGCCACTTTAGGAGCACTGTTAATTGGAACGCAACAGTGATGCTTGGAAACTTTACAATATTTAATTCGTAAATTAAATATCAGAAAAATTACTTGCTGGGATTCGTGAGTCGGGCGCTCCTCCATTATAATTAGGTTATTCCACTCAGTGGAAACAAATTCATACTTTTATCTACAACTATGGAGTCATTCATACATTGCCAACTCGATTCTCAACATTTAATGACAGACATTACATTAATAAGAGTCATAATGACAATAGGGTGGATGGCGTAATAATCTGACATCCCATAGTCTTCTCAAATTCAACTAGGTAGGCATTCGTTCTACTAGTTCTACTAAAGCCCACCACTATACTACTACTGTGAAATACACACAGAAGACTCACCTTACATGGTTTTCATAGTTTTAATCACCTTAATTCTACAAAAACACTGAAAAATGAGAATTCACTGTTTTTCCTTCTAAACAGTGACCACCATCATGAGTAACCATAACCATAAAATAGGACTTGACACTTGACAGTTGCAGATTGGCTCACACTCAAGTGCGGGCTACTCGAATAGATTAGTACAGAGCAATCAGAACCATGTAACTTCATTGTTGATAACTAGCGTCTAGAGACAAGGTACTACAATTAATCATCGCGGTGGGGGAATGCTACAGCGGAAGCAAGTTAATGATTAATCTGCAATAGTATGAGTCATTTTACAACTCAAAAGTGAAATAGCATATAGGTGATACCTGTAAGATTGACTGTTTTTCCAGTTAATAAAAATTAGATCCAACATTATTTATTATATTTTCACAATCAAAATTATTGAAATAAGTTATGAGCTGTTTGTTGATTGAAATTTCTGTCAATAAGTTTTCGATGAAATTGATGAGTATTTCGGATCAGATTTATTGATTTTGCAATATAGAATAGAATAGAATAGAAATTTATTGATTTCATTAGATTACAATTTCCCATTTTATACTAAAAACAAAAAAATTGATTGGTCTATGAAACAGGTCAAAGTTTTACAAATTCATTTATGGTACAGTTGAATAACATTTTGCTCATAAGATGAAACTAGCTTTAGCTAGTAAAAACACGTTATCTGGGACAAGTTGAATTACAGAAAAGTAGATAAAAAAATACAAAAAAAATACTAACAAAAATACAAAAAATACAAACATCAAGTACCTAGCTCGAATTCAAGTGAAGACTTTAAATAATCCTCAACTGTATAGGGCTCCAGCTCAGTCAAGTATGCTTTCAGTGACCCCACAAAACCACTGGTCTGCTCAATCTTTTTTATTGCTTGCGGCAGACAGTTGAAAAATTTTAGAGCACTATACATTGTCCCTCTTTCTGTGGAGCTTCTAGTGTGCCTGGGAAACACATAATCGCCATAGTGCCTAGTGTTGTAAGCGTGTGAACTTTTGTAACAGTTGAACCTAACCTAACCTAACCTCCATTATTTGGAAAGATATATTTCTGAACTCTCAGAGTTGCTTTGATATTTGAATAGTTGTAGATATAGTATAGTATTCTACTCGCACATAATGAGCCTTCGGCTCGTACTGCAACTTTCATCATCGTGGGTAATAGCCATCATTATGAGCTCGTTAAATAATATATACTATTTCTCAAGATGAAAGTTATCACATTTCAATTTTTTTCAATCAAATTGTCCGGACCAGATGTTGTTTAGGAATGATTTTAAATCTTCTTGCATCATGTATATTTTTCAATTCATTCGGTAATGAATCGTATTGAATTATTTCATATGTGAAATATGACAGGAGTTCACTTTTGGAGGCAGATGAGGAATGAATCAATACAGTACTAAAAAAGTAAATAAACTAATTTAATTATTGAAAAATTTCAATGAGGAATCTGCCGAATCGAGTCTGCCAAGATGTCCTTGTTTGGAGTGTAACTCTGTCCTTCCCACCAATTTGTCTCTTGAGTAGAGCACACTGACATAAGTACTATCTAGACCGCTAGTGGTCATATCTCAGCAACTCGAAAATCTTATGTAAATTGCTCGCCTAAACTCTTCTGCTCAATGCGCAAGAACCTCCAAACTATCGTTCATGACATCCAGCCATTTTTCTTCGATGTTCGGAAACATAAGGTATGTCCTAAATGCGTATAATGGGCGAGTGGACTTATAATGAATTATTGGCATTCAATTACAACACTTTGTCGTTAGATACCTAAATTAATTTTTGCAACACTTCTCACACTTCATCATGTAAATTATGAGTGTATGCGTTTTATAAATTGTTGAATTTCGGAGCTCATTTCAGACATACCGTCTTGGCCACTATTTGGCGATATGTTGAATTAATGGTGAGGTCAGCTCCTATGCAGTTTGGTTATTGGTCAGATAATCTTCCATTTCCACTCTCGAAGCAAGGTTGTCAATTCACCAATTATAATCAAGTTATCAAAAAGATGAAAGAGTCCTGTCATTGAATAAAACAAAATAGGAGCAACCCATGATATTATATATCATTCTTGACTCTTATGAGCAACCACCATGTCCAAATATTTCTAATACTCCATAACAAAATTTCATGTAAATGTTGGAGACTTGGCAACATTGTGCTGCATGCTGAGAAGGGACAAGACCACACCCACAAGTCCTGCCCGCGGTGTTGTCATGTTCACCGCTTCAAATGTCCTCCAGTGTGAATTAATATAATTACTATTCACACCACTGGCGGCTCCTCAGAGGAGGCAACGGAGGCTGAGCCTCCTCAGAGATTTTCCTTAAACTAATATTATTTATACTTTCTCATTAAAAGGACACCAAAATACATGGATTTTGATTCTATTTCCTGTTTTTAGTTAAATATTTTTGAATAAGCACCAGTGCATGCCCACGCATCACACGTTGAAGTCTGCAAATCACGCGTAAAATATTCAACTTGGCAACATCTATAGGAGGCTAGACTCCTTCACATAGCGCAACCTACGTGCGCAATGTGAATGCCCGAATACGCCCGGATAGCACGTGTTTGTCGTGTCGCTTCGCGAATTGCGGGCAAACGCGAGTGCATTGTTTATGTTTATGTTAGGTTAATGGTTTGGGGCTCTCCAAATTTCTGAAAAATTAGTGTTTTAAACGATGGCGATTTAGTGGGATACTTTTTGGTAAACCCATTCAGTGCTTTGTCTTATGAAGATAAATTGATTGTGAAAAGCAAACGTCCGACACCGGAATTAAAAAATCTGATTGTAACAGGTAACAAACAAAACCGTTCGTTCAATTCTGATAATTATAAAAAATATATCTGGTTGACGGGATCTGAGGTAAGGAATAAGCTATTTGGTTGGTACTGCGTATTATTTTCAACCGATAAGTCATCATGTTGGGGGCGATTAGGATATAATGATTTGAAAAATTTGCCTCGCGGATTGGATAGACACTGCAAGTCACAGAAACACATCTCTTCAAGTATTAAGTTCAGGTTAACTGGTAAACAGAATGTCATTAAAGCTATCGATTTGGGTGAGTAGAGACTTGTTTTTCACAATAAATCTCATATCATTCAGCCTCCTCTGTCATGAAAGTCACGAGCCGCCACTGATTCACACAAATGTATTATAAGCAATGAGCCACAAATCATAAGGGAACATTTTGAAACAATTGATTTTGTATTGCTAAATAGAAATATTACCAATACATAATTGAGAATGTAATAATGTCTGAATAACTAATATTTCTGAAGTTCCCAATCGTATTTCAACACATGGCAACTGTGGTATGGTCTTCCCCTACTTACGAAATCGTGACGTCAGCTTTTACTAGCGGTAAATTTCCGTTTGATTTTAGCACCTAAAAATCGACCGAAAAATTATAAAAAAATATGAAATCGAAAGGTATTTGAGTGATGATTCTATTTGAGAAGAAAAAAAAAACTAGTCCACTCGCCAACTTATGTTCCCTCTATGTTCCCCAGTTCGATCTCATAAGTAGCATAGTTTCTTTCTTATGGCAGGGCCATAACATGAGTCGGGATACATCATTAATATGCTCATCTCTTTCTGTCATCGTTTCTCTCTGTCGACATGATCCATGTCAACAAAATCAACGTAGTAACATATAGGGAGGGCATTACTCATCTAGTATAATATGTTCTATGGAGGGAATAATCTGATTTTGATTTTCAATTTCACTTACCTTCTTCTCTGGCTGCAATGGTTCGTTTTCTTTATTGGCCTCTTCTCCCTTTATGTAGTTCCACTCGTCTTCTGAGTCACTTTCTGCTGCGTTATCTAGCCCACTAACATCATGAACTGTAACAATAAAAAAGTAGGTAAAATATCAAGTGATCAGAACTTGATGAAGTTTCTTCATTGAAATTATGGTCAACTTATATCTCCTCTATTATAATAATAGGGATAACAAAACATTTGGATGTCCTGAATCTGTCAGTCAGATGTCAGATGTATATTTACTTGAAAATCACCAAGTATGCACCATACATAGTCGCTTTTATTAAAAAAAGTTCAGTGAAATGAATGGTTACATCAATAATTTATATTTCATTAATATTATTTTGTTTCATGCACAAGATCCATTATTAATCAATATAAAAACTAAGTTCATAATTACAATCAGAATATGATTATCAACTTGATGATCCCATAAAAAATCTATAAATAGTACAAAAACAAATAAGTCATCGAACACATTGAAATAACTTCTATACAGAGTGTTTTAGAGTTGTAGTGACAAAAGCCTACGGGAGATTCCGCTCGGCAAAATTGAAGGTTTCAGCTGATTTCAATGGAATTTTCACGCTTTATTCAGAAAAAAATATCACTCCAAAGTTATTTTGTGTTTCTCATCAATTATTCAAATAAATTGACTCGTTCTGTTTTCGAGAAAATAATTCAATAGCAAGTCTCTGAAATCCATCAGAAGGAATATTATGAGGAATTATCCAAAAATTCATGGCAGTGTATTTCTGGATGACAACAATATTAAAATGTAATAATGGAAGTTGTCATTCCCTAGTATTGAAAATATGTACCTTCGAAAATACCGGAATTTGCCTTCTTTTTCAATCTGAAGATTATTTTTCAATAAAGTGACAGCTTTGAAGTGTGTTTGATATTCGAGAACATTGCAGTCGATTTCATCTGATGTGATTCCATGAATACATTGTGATACATTTTTGGATAATACGGAAGCATTCTTATTTCTCCTCAAGGACGTGACGAGTTATGGTATTTATGTATTTTTGTTCGAATACTAAGCGAGACACTAGAAAAGTCAAGGTGATATTGTTTTATAGAGAAACAACTGACTTGTTTGCTAGGTACACCCCTGGACATTTCACATCAAATTATAGAAATCTAATAATTGTTTGAATAGACCTTTAAAAACTCATTGAAATCGGCTCAAGCGTTTTTGAGATGATAGTAAAAACTTTTTTGAAACACTTCACACTCAGTATATTGAACATGAAGTTTTTCCGGACCCATGTTCCATATTCTGTTGACTCATATACGCATTAGTCAATACAACTCTGAAACACTCTGTATAAACACTATCATAAATGCCAATCGAATTATAGTTCATAGCTTGACTTTTTTACTAAAAATTTCACAATGAATCGAATTTTTTGGTGGGGCAAAATAGTGAAGGAAAAATTGTGAAAGGGCTATTACAATTTAGTTATATACAGGATGTTTCTTAAGTACATGTAGAAAATTCAGGAGAATGTTGCTGACGTCAAAATAAGGAGAAAAGTTCGTATAAATACAGGGTGTTTCACAGGTAAAGGGAAATATTTCAATGGTAGATAGGGGTCACCAAGGTGGTTCTGAAAATACCATATTTGATAGGTCTTAGAGTTTTCATAACGGAGATACAGGGCGATTTATCGATTTCGAATAATTATTCATTCGTCTATAAGTATTGAACTACCCAGTATATTTCTCTAAAATTTGATATGGAGCTTAAACTTGGGACGTTGAATTCATTCACCTATCGGGCGAAGAGAAAATCCAGGTTCGACTTCAGGAAAAATTCACATTTATTCGAAATATTGAAATAACACACTGTATGTAATAATTGAAAGAGTTCATCAAAAGAATCGTAAAGAGGAGGAAAAACTGAACTGGATTTGATGCTTTTTGTTTTCCCGCCACTAATTCTCATCGTAACAATCATAAACAGAAAGCTGAAAGTATGTCAATTTGAAGAGTATTGAAATTATGAAACCAGTGTCAATTATGATTTTTCGATATATTTTAGTCAAAAAGTCGCTCGAAAGAACTTACTAAGTCTCACAGTTTTTATAACGGAGATACAGGGTGAATTATCGGTTTTGAATAATCATTCACTCGTCCATAAGTATAAAACTACCCAGTAACATTTTCTCAAATATGGTATGTAGCTTACTTGGGACGATGGATTCATTAACCTATCAGGCGAAATTATAATTCGATAATTCACCCTGTATCTCTGTTATGAAGAATATGAGACTTTTCCTGAAGCTGAACCTGTATTTCCATTCTGCCTGATAGGTCAATGAATTCATCGTCCCAAGTAAGCTCAATACCAAATTTTAGAAAATATTACTGCGATGGGTAGTTTAATACTTATGGACGAGTGATAATTCACCCTGTATCTCTGTTATAAAGACTGTGAGACTGAGTAAGTTCTTTCGAACGATCATTTAACAAGAATATATCAAATAATCATAATTGAAAGTGGTTTCATAATTTTGATACTCTTGAAATTGACATACTTTTAGCTTCCTTTTTATAATTGTTACGATGAGAATTGGTGGCGGGAAAACAAAAAGCATCAAATCCAGTTCAGTTTTTCCTCCTCTTCACGATTCCTTTGATGAACTCTGTCAATTATTACATACAGTGTGTTATTCTAATATTTTGAATAAATGTAAATTTTTCCTTGAGCCGAACCTGGATTTTCACTTCGCCCGATAGGTGAATGCATTCAACGTCCCAAGTTTAAGCTCCATACCAAATTTTAGAAAAATATACTGGGTAGTTCAATACTTATAGACGAATGAATAATTATTCGAAATCGATAAATCGCCCTGTATCTCCGTTACGAAAACTCTAAGACCCATCAAATATGGTATTTTCAGAACCACCTTGGTGACCCCGATCTACCATTGAAATATGTCCATTTACCTGTGAAACACCCTGTATATGTCCGAAAGTTATTCGTTTCTGAGATACAGAGTGTCAAATTTGAATTCTTATTTTTGTTTTTTGTTAATAAATTACAAAATAATTGTGATATTCGAATAACACACTTTGTAAATAGTATATATGGTCAAATTTGTTCAAAATCACATAACCTACCATTTCCTCCGTGTATACGTCGGTGAACCAAACACCCTGTATATATCACTTCAGGGGAAGCTGAAACGACCCTCAACATGATTTTTTTAAATAAAACCCTATGGCTTGTGGCCCCTCATTGGAAAGCTGGTGTAAAGAGGAATCCAGCGTACTAGTCAAATTTCAGTTTTTCGTACGTTTTAGGATTGCATAAAATTGAAATGTAAATTCAAAATTCAATTTATTTTCAACGGTTCAATCGCTCAGAATGTGTTGAACAGTTGATGGCAATTTTTTGCCACAACTGCTATTTGCTATTGTTTTCCAGTGTATTTATAGAGCCCAAAAAAGAAATTTGTTTTTTTTTCGTATTCACAGTTGGAAACGAAGTGTTATTGCAAACTGGTGTAAATTCCTTATATCCGAGCTTATATCACTGTCACTAAAAGTCGAAATTTTGATGAAAATACGTTGAAAATATATTGAAAATGATTTTGATTTTATGCGACCTCCGAACGTATTACAAACCGAGATGTGATCAGTATGCTAGATTCTTCTTTCAACCAGTTTTCCAATGAGGGGTCGCAAGACATAGGGTTGCATTCGATAAAAAAGTAGGGGTTGATTCCAGCTACCCCTGAAGAGTCATTTTTTCCATATTGCTCGCCAAATGTAGGTAAATATTTTCAAACGTTGACGTCTCTCGCGACTTTTCAAAAAAATCATTCACGCCCCCATTAGTGAATTTATTCCAGTTACAATATCCACCCTGTATTTCAGGTTTTGGCCCGATTATTGCTAAACCATTCAGAATTTATAGTTATGCATAAGATCGAAAATCTTGAATAAGAATATTGTTCATTCACTATTCATTACGACAAAATAGCGATTCTTATCTAATCTACATATGACATTATTCAAACAGGAACGATCGATGATCTTTTGATCTTGAGGTGAAGTAAAAATAAATTTGTATCATATTGGCATTTGACTAATTTGAATTATTAAAATCAATTAAAAAACAATAGGTATCTATCAACATTCAACTTTCTATTTTGCATTATTTGGAAATACAATGGAAAAGTAGGAGACATACATAATTAGCATTTTTATTCTAGAAACTGAATGAACTCAATTCAAGTTACTTAATGAGACTACAAGCTAGTTGAAGGAAAACTGATTGAAATAACGGTCAATCTTAACAAGTGAGGTACCTAGTTTTTGAAAGATGTAGTTTTCATTAGGTATTAGATTTAAGTATAGAGGTCAGATAATTTATACGACGCTATAAAAGCAGATGATATTTCATCATTGCTCATGTAAGATGGAAGTTGAGGCCATGGCACCATATCATGAGCATATTTTCATATTGAAACTATCATTGGGCACCAATGATGTGTATACGACGCTATGAGAGTTCAGAGAACTGGAGATTTTTCGTACAAACTACGTACTTAGCCCGTACCTAGTTTATTGGCAAAAATAAAGACAGTAGAGTGAGCTAGGTACAGAGTTTATGGGAAAAAAATCAAGACATTCGAGTGTGCTTTTTTTACTTTCTTTTGTTTTTTGTTTCGTTTTCTATTGGCAAGTGATAATCTAGGAACTTGTAAATTTTTTAGTTTTTTCATCGTATCTCCCGAACTATTGAATTCAGAAAAAAATGTTATGAGGATTTTTTTTGGATTTTATCAAAAGGAATAATTTTGGTTCTATAACATTTTCAGATATTTTCAGTTGTTTTCGAGATATTTGGAATTATCTGAGAATAAAATTTTCAACACTTTTGTTCCATCTTCCAATCAACAAAATGAAAAAATATTCCATGCCTCAGTGGAGGTAGATGAGCTTCATCTATCGATAATCTATGTTTTTCAATATATCTTCATAGTACCCTATGGGTCGTTAAAATTTTTTTTTTCATATTTTTCACTTTATTTCCTGTACTATTGGGTTTACAGAAAAAATTATGGAAAA